GTAGGGGGAGGGGTAAACCCCTCCCCGAAGGGGAAGAAGGGGGGTTGGGGGGTTGAGGACAGAGAGAGCTCTCTAAACCACTCACGCCCAAAGGGCTGGTGGGACTTGATGGGGCGTCTGCGATGCATGTCAGGAGTCCAGGGCTCGGGGCAAGTCCTGGCACGCCGTCGTGCCGTCTACTGCGCTGTGCGGCAAGTTTAACGACGCCGTCGAATGCGATCGGAGGTTATATAAACAGGAACACAACATATCTCATACAATCGATCGTTGGATTCGATTTGGCGCTGGATTCGAGATACCAGATACAACCATGACCAGCATCTTAGATGCGAATCATTAGTGCGGGATGCAATTTCGGACATGCCGAAGTACTTTATTCCGACGGGGAAGGTGCACTTTGCAACGACGCCACAAAGGCAGTATTTAAGGCAAAAGGCATTGAGCTGAGGATGCGTGCGCTTGAACAACGCGCTACGACCATTGAAGCCAGAAGTGGCATACTACTTGTCCTCTTGTCATTGTCCTTCTCCTCCTCCTCCTCCTCTTCCTCTTCCCTCTCCTCCTCATCCCCCTCCTCCTCCCCCTCCTCCTCCTCCTCCTCCTTCCCTCCTCCTCCTCCTCCTCCTCCTTTTCCTCCTCTTCCTTTCCTCCTCCTCCTCCTCTTCCACCTCCTCCTCCTCCTGCTCCTGCTCCACCTCCTCCTCCTTCTCCTCCTCCTCCTCCTGTGCCTTTTCCTCCTGCTCCTGCTCCTCCTCCTCCTCCTCCTCCTCCTCTTCCTGTTCCTCCTGCCGCGCGCGCTTGTTTTAGAATACAGTGTAAGATCTTCGCGGATTGCGGGCGGGCCGATGTCAAAACGCGGCGCTCGCCGTAGCGCCGCGCACATCCGTTTGGACATTACAAGGGCTTCGCGGATTGAGGTCGGGTGGTATTCAACTTGTGGCTCTCGCCTTGGTGCCGTGCCCATTCGTTTTTAACATGTGCAACAGTTTCACTGATTCTGGGTGGGCGGGGCGGGCGATGTTCAAAGCGTGGTTTTCGCCTCACCGCCGCGCGCACTCGTTTTGACATTTGGAATGGCTTCACAGGTTGCGGGCGGGTGGTTTTCAAACTGTGGCCCTTGCTTTCGCGCCGCGCACGTTCGTTACACACACACACACAACACACACACACACACACACACACACACACACACACACACACACACACACAACACACCACACAACACACACACACACACACACACACACACACACACACACACACACAACCACACACACACACACACACACACAACACACCACACACACCACACACACACACACACACACACACACACACACACACAACACACAACACACAACACACACACACACACACAACACACACACACACACACACACACACACACACACACACACACACACACACACACACTATATATATATATATATTATATTATATATACATATATATATAAATATATATATATATATATCTTCCTATCTCTGTTATCTCACATCAGGAGATCCCCGGGGATGGGCGGCACCCCCCCCCCCAATAGAATTTGGCGGCCCAAGGGGCCGGTGGGGCTCTCTCTGGCCAGTCCCCGGAGGTTCCAGGGGTCCCTTGGGTGTTTTCTGGCCCGCCAGTTGGGCTTCCCAAGACGGTCCAAAGGGCCCGAAATCGCCGAATAATTTGCCCAATACGCCCATGACCACTTGACGACGGCCCAAAAGGCCCCCAATACCGCCCAAGAGGCCTCCGAGAGGCCTCCGAAGAGGCCTCATTGATGCCGGCACCCGAGGTTGTGCAGCCTGAATCGCTTGAAACATCTTCGCATTTCGGCTCACATATGCCGCGAGCGAAGTGGTCCGTCCAGTTTCGCTTGAGACATCCCGCCAATGCTGGGCTCAGATATGTTTCCACATGAAGTGGCCTTGCCGGACTCCCCTCAAACGTCCTCCCCTATTTGGGATCCGCGTGCAGCGCGCAAGAAGGTGCGGCCAGTATCGCTTCAGACATGATCGGAACTTTGACCTGAAAAATGTCCGGACCTGAAGTGGTCCAGCCATTCTCGCTTGAGACGTCCTCGCAACTCTGCGTCCAGAGATGCCGCACGAAAGATGCCCCGGCCAGTTCCACCTGTAACATCCTGCCAACTCTGGGCTCAAAATGCCGCTAACTTGAGGTGGCCTGGCCAGTCTCACTTGATTACTCCTGCCAACTGTGGCTCAGAGATGGCGCGCGCAGACGCCCAAGCAACTCAGAGACACCCCAACAACTGCCGAGACACCCCGGCAACTTCCAAGCCAGATTCGCCTGAGACACCCAAACGACTTCCGAGATAAGAAATGCCCCCACCTAAAGTAATTCCAGCCAGTCTCGCCTAAGAAGTCCTCCCCTGTTTGAGCTCAGGCGTGCCGCGCGCGAGGAGGTCGTCCAGTATCGCTTCAGATGTAATCGCAATTTGGGCCTGAGAGAGATCCGAACTTCAATGTCCAGCCACTCTCGCCTCAGATGACGAACGAGAGATGCCCTGGCCAGTTTCACATATCCCCATGTCCTGGGCGCCCTTCCCCGCTCGTGCTACACCGCATGTCAATTCTGCATTGATCGATCAGCATCTGGCTTAAGCGTCCGCTGCGTCCTGAGTACGCCCGACGTCGCCGCCCCATGCGTTGAACAGCCATCGGCCGCGCCTCCTCGTACGATGGCTCCCAAGACGTCCAACGCGACGTGCGACTACACCCCGACCCCAGCAGCATCGCCCGCTGCAGGCGCGCAAGCGCCAGGTAACCGCGAGTATGTGTCCCTCTCCACTCAGCACGTCCACGTGGAGCTCTTGGACATCAACAAACACAACTCCAACGGCATCCGCGTCACCATCGCAGACGGCGCGAGCCTCCGTTTCCGGGCCGAGCGCAAGAAACATGGACTCACCACGTTGTGGAAAGACGCCGTTGCCGTCCACGACCTCTCACCAGCACCTCTTGGAGTTCAGACCGCCCAGTGCGGCTTCCCACGAGCGCTCAGCCAGGGGAGCCCCAATCCGAGCTGGGCGCACGCGCACGTGGCTTTCGGACTGAACCCGCGCGCCGCCGCCGCCGCCCACAAGCACGTCATCCAGTTCACCGCGGACACTCTCACGCACAGCTACTTCGAGGCCGACTTTGAGGTCCCTGCGAATGAGAAGCGCTCGAGCTTCAAGATCACTTCAGCCAAAACCAACAACCGCCTCAGCCGCACCAGGCAGTTCAAGATGATGGACGGCACCGACAAGACAGTCAAGGAGCTTCACAACTTCTGTTCCTTGGTTGCGAGTAGCGTCCCGGACAAGTTGCTCACCCCGCTGCGCAACCTCCACAAAAAGTACCCTCAGTTCATCACGTGGGCTTCGCGCGCGCCGAACACGCCCACGCAGGACACCGCGCCGTCAGCGCTCCCTTCGCCCACGGCAGAGCCCAGCGGGCCCCGCAAGCGCCCTGCAGCGGCGACGCCGACAGCCCCGGTGACCAAGAAGCCAGCGAATATGTCCAAGAAGTAAGGTGCCCTGCAGGGTCCGCCCACCGACCCATGCAGATTTGTACACCAGGCGCGCGAACGGATCCTCTCGGGAAGTCCGGGGCGCTGAAGTACACGCCGATTTGTTCAAGCAGGCTCGGGACAGTTCGTCGCCGCTCCGATTTTGCAGAGCACCACGTCAGGATCGCCCCTGCACTTCAGTGAGAAAAAAACATCATCACCAAACTGTGCGGCGTCGCCGCCCGTGACCTTCCCAACCCAAATCTGCAGAGGTATGAGGCCACCATCGTTGCCAGCACCCTTTTCGTTGCATTCACCTCATCCGAAGCCTCCCTCTCCCTTCCCCTGCCCTCGGCGTTGCATCCTCGCCTAATCTTATCGCCGATGACCGTCGCGCGCGCCGCCCCTTGCCAATTCGGCGCGCGCGCACGGCGCGCGCGCACTCCATGGGCCGACGCCCATGCGCCCGTGACCTTCCCATCCCCGCCCCTGCCCATCGCCGACGCTTCAGCCCGCATAGTCGCACTTCACTCGCACACTGCACGCCGGCGCATCGTGCCAAGACCTCCAAGCGAAGCGCAGCGAGCTTCAAGTCTTGTATATATACATATATATATATATATATCCATATATGTATATATGTGTGTGTATCATAAAATGCATGAGCGTCGCGGATTGAGGGTGGCCACTTTTCAAAATGCGGTTCTCCCTTTAGCGCCGCGGACATTGGTTTCTAAATGTTGCCAGAGTTTCACGGTTTCCCATGATCGACAGACCAGATGGTATTTTGGGGGGGATTCGGATTTAGGAAGCTGCACCACTCACGTTGGTTCGCAGCGTTGCAGTTCCAGGAATGGCGTTCAGGATCGTAAATATGCAGCAGTCAGGTAGACCCATGGCGTTGGAATCCCGACAACGATGTTCTGGCATGTTTCACGGTCTTCCAACGGTTGTCTTCCAACGAGGCAGTTCCCTCAGTGGAAATGAAGCGCTGCATGGGGGCCTATGAACAGCGAGCTTTGAAAGGGTGAATGTTACTCCATCGTTGTGACGACTCTTGGGTTTAGATTGGTCTTCCTCCTCCTGCTATTGCTACCGCTGCTCCTCCCCTTCCTCCTCCTCCTCCTTCTCCTCCTCCTCCTCCTCTTCCTCCTCTCCTCCTCCCCTCCTCCTGCTCTCTACTCGCACTCCCCTTTTTGTTCCCCCTCTCCCCTCCTCCTCCTCCTCCTCCTCCTCCTCTCCTCCTCCTCCTCCTCCCCTCCTCCGCCCCCCCCCTCCTCCTCCTCCTCCTCCTCCTCCCCCTCTTCCTCATCCTCCTCCTCCTCTTTCTCCCCTTTTTCTCCTCCTCTCCTTCTACTTCCTCCCTCCTCCCCTCCTCCTCCTCCTCCTCCTCCTCTCCTCCTCCTCCTCCTCCTCCTCTCCTCCTCCCCCTCCTCCTCCTCCTCCTCCTCCTCCTCCTCCTCATTCTCATCCTCATCCTCATCCTCAACCCTCACCTCCGTCCATGGCGCGCCGTTCGCTGCCCCCCCCCGTGGGATGGGAGGCGGCGCGGGCGGCGCGCGATGCCGACCCCAGCGACGGCCGGGAAGCCGCAGGGCGCGGAGCACAGGGCCCGCGCAGGCGAGAGCGAGGGCACCCCGCCGTCAGCCGCTCGCCGACGCCGCCGCCCGCCGCCTGCGCCGCCGCCCGCCGCCGCCGCCGCCGCCCACGCTTTTGCGTGCGCCTGCGCCGCCCGCCGCCGCGGCCCGCCGCTTGCGCCGCCGCCCGCCGCACGCGTCGCCGCCGCTTGCGCCGCCGCCCGCCGCTTGCGCCCGCCGATTGCGCATGCGTCGCCGCCCGCCGCATGCGCCGCCGCCGCTCGCGCGAGTGCCTGCGCCTGCGCCGCCGCATGCGCCCCCGCCGCCCACGCCCATGCCTGCGTCGGCTGCCGCCGGCCCGAGGCGACCCCAGAGGCCCCCGAGACGCAGGCCAGGAGGGCCCCAGGGCGGATGACGCCAATTGTACGTTCGCACCGATCCTGACCACAGGCCGATGACGTGCCCAGCTTGGGTGCAGTGCGCTGGACATACCACGAGGGCGCGTGCACCGGTCTTGCGCCGAGGATCTGGCCAGGACTGGCGCTGGTGTGGGTACGTAGTTCGCGCGGCTTTGGGGGCCGCCGCCGCCGCTTGCTGCCCATGCTCCAGCTAGCGATGTCGGTTTGGTGCCTGAGGAGTTCCTGGGGGTGGTTTCTGCGGGGATGGGGGTACGGCGGGTTCGCGTCGTGCTGGCGCGGCGGCGACCTCACCGCGGGCGCTCAAAGCTGAGCGCGCCCGTGGCCCAGAATCGGCCAATGTGGTGTGTATATATATATATATATATACACACGCACACCTATGTATGTATGTATATATATATATATGTATATATACATATGTAGATTATGAAAAGGGTATATATATATTCATATGTGTCTATTCCTATTCATATACTTTCATAAGGCCGGGGACCCCGGAAAGAGCCCACCCTTCCTCCCCCCCCCCCCACCACACACACACACACACACGCACACAGACACACACACACACACACACACACACACACACACACACACACACACACACATATACACACACGCCACACACACACACACCGAACGAATTTCGAATTCTGGGATCTGTCTTGGGCCTCTCTGGGGCCATCCTGGGGCCATCCTGAGGCCATCTTGACGCCTCCAGAGCCGATCGGAAGCGAAAAGGCGAGAAGACCAACAACATTGATTTCCAATGGAGTTTCACTGATTTTCGACTCTTCGGGCCCTCTTGGGCCAGCCTTGGGCCTTTTGGGGCTTCGTTTTTGGGCTCATTTCAAGCCATCCTGGGGCTATCTTGAAGCCTTAAGAGCCGATCGGAAGCGAAAAGGCGAGAAGGCCAAAAACATTGATTTTCCAATGGTTTCATTGATTTTTTGCTCTCCATGCCCTCTTGGGCCAGCCTTGGGCCTCTGTGGGGCTCGGTTTGGGCCTCTCTGGGGCCATCTTGAGGCCATCTTGAAGCCTCAAGAGCCGATCGGAAGCGGAAAGGTGAGGAGGCCACAAACATTGATTTTTCAATGGGTTCTCATTTATTTTCGACTCTCCGGGCCCTCTTGGGCCAGCCTTCGGCCTCTTTGGGCTTCGTCCTGGGGCTCATTTGGAGCCATCCTGGGGTTCTCTTGAAGCCTCGCGAAAAAACGATAAGGCCAAAAACATTGATTTCCCAATGGATTTTCATTGATTTTCGACTCTCCGGGCCCTCTTGGGCCAGGCTTGGGCCTCTCTGGGGCTCGTCCTGGGCCTCTCCGGGGCCATCCTGGGGCCATCCTGAAGCCTCAAGAGCCGATCGGAAGCGAAAAGGCGAGAAGGCGAAAAACATTTATTTTCCATTTGTTTTCAGAGATTTTCGCCTCTCCAGCCATTCTTGGGCCAGTCTTGGCTCTCTCTGGGGCTCTTCTTGGGCCTCATTTAGGCCATCTTGGAGCCATCTTGACGCCTCACGCGCCGATCGTCAGCGAAAAGGCGAGACAGCCGAAAACATTTCATTTCTTAAGACGTTTGAGCGATTTTGGCCGAACCCGGCATTCTTGGGCCAGCCTTGGGTATCTCCCAGGCCCGTCTTGGGGCTCTCTTGAATCATCTACGAGGCATCTTAGGCTTCAAGGGCCCATCAGAGGCGAAAAGGCGAGCAGGCCACGAAGATTGATTCACCCAAGGTTTTTAGAGCGAGTTGTGCCTCTCCAGGCCCTCTTGAGCCGGCCTTGGGCCTCTCTGTGGCCCGTTTTGGGGCTTTTGGGACCTTTGTGAGGCCTCAAGATCCCACTGGAAGCGAAAATGCGAAAGACATTTTGGCTTCTCCCGGCGCCCTTGGACCCGTCTTGGACATCAGGCATGCGTGCCGGCTCTGTGGGGCCATCACGGCGCCATCTTCAGGCTTCCAGTCTAGGTATTGATATATACAAGACTGCAGTGGGGCTTCGCACCACTGCACCCTGGTCCTTGAAGTTTGGTATGCAGGCAGAGTGGCAGGAAGGTCGAGCCGACAATTTAGGGATAACTCCTTGTTGCCTTTTCCGGCATCGCCGTTATGGTAATGTTATTTGTTGTCCTTTCTACATGCTTCTTTTTCCTCATTCTCGCCATACCCTGCGCATTCTCTCCATCCTCCTCAGCTCTTTTTGCGGAGGCTCCTTGGAGAGCCTTTGGGGGCCTCACACAAGTTTTTCAGGATTTCTTGAGGCCTTCTGGAGGCCTCCTTGGCGTGTTCTGGGGACCTCTGGGGGCTTCCTCGGGCCACCCTGCTTCCAACCGCGGTCTCCCTGAACGACTGGGTCACGATTTGGAATGCTTCGGAGGGTGACTTGGGGCCATCTTGGGCCGGCATGGGGCTCTCTTAGGGCCATCATGGACTGCCTGGAAGCCCTTTCGGATGGTCGTGGGCTGATTTGGGAGCCTCCCAGGCGGCTTCGGACGCCCAGAAGACCGCCGTCTTGGAGCGTCGGGAAGCCGAAAAGAGGAGAACCCCCAAACCCACCAACAACCATAAGAAAAACATGATTTTTGCCTCTTGGGGCCTTCTTGGGAGTGCTCTTGGAGGCCTCGTGGAGGCCTCATGGGACGTGGAGCGATCTTCGGGGGTATGACGGCTTCTTGGGGGTCGTCGTGGACCGTATTGGGGCTCTCTGGGGACGTTTCGGGAGCGCGCCGGAACGCTTGGAACCCGTCTGGGGCCGTCTTCGAGTTCTCGTGAGTTTCCCCCGGGTCGTTCGGAGGGTTGCCCAGAGGCCCGGGGAGGGCCAAAATTTGTGTGGGGGGGCTTTTCCCAGCGTCCCCGGACCCATAAAAACATATGAATCGGAATATGTGTACATAGATATATATATATATATACACATATATTTTATATATACACATAATTTTGTATGTGTATGTGTATATACACATATGTATATGTGTATGGATGGAATGATCGGATGATCGGGCGGCCGCCGATCGTTCAAGGTCAATCGATCCACGCGGTGTGAGTAACCAACCCCGAGATTCGTCACGACACGAGCTTGACGTCAATACGCGTGCACGGCGTCAGCCGTGGAGCTGCCTCCTGTTTTGGGGCGAAGGGGCCCCGTCTTGTCCCCAGCGCGTCGCCGTCTCGGCGGTGGGGTCCCTGGGCAGGGGTGCCGGAGCCGTTCTGGCCAGCCGGAAGCCCGGCTCCGATGCCCATGCTTGAAGCCCGCTCGAGGCAGTTCGGGCTGCAGGTGCTCGGCTGCCCGAAGCCGCCGCCTCGCAGAAGCGCCCGCCAGGGCCAGGTCCTCGCCATCAGGATCTTGGTCAGGAGGGAAAGAAACACACAGACACAATGAATCGTCGACTCCCAGGAAAACATGGGAAAATATGGGAAGTGAAGGGGAAGACGACAGCCCGGAAAATACAGGAAAATATGGGGAATCGTTTTATTTGTGTCTATTTATTTGTGTGTCCCAGGGCCCCTTCAATTGGCACTGGCCACCGCATGAGAAGGCGTGCCTGGCGAGAAGCCACAAACCACGGCCGACCCGAACGGCCAGACGTCGCTAACCACGGCCGAACCCTGGTACCCACACGAGCATCCCTGGGGCAGGACGGGGCAGAAGGGCTGGCCACGGCTAGACCTGGGGGTCCCAGCACAGTTCTTTTAGACGTTTAGCCGGACAGGGAGCATGGGAGAAGATGAGGGGAACGGAGGGGAAGGGAAGGATGCGGGTCCCAGAAGCAGGGACTGGGACGGCAATGTGTTTATAATTTCGCATGGAGTCTGTGCAGAGATCGTTCGCAGCCGAGCACATAATTATCGTTGGAGTGTGACTTGGAAGAAGTGGCCGCAGGGATAGGGTAGATGACGGCATGATCAGAGTAGAGTAGCACGGCATTGTAGAAGCGATAAGCAATGTGGGTGGGTGGTTGCATTTGGTTCTAATAGGGGGGGGATAAGAGGGGTATGGGTATCAGTATGCAGAGGACGGGGACGCGATGAGGAGTGCCAGCGTGAGTCAGGTGGCCTCCTTCCCGACAACGAGGGGGTTCTTCAGGGCATCCAGCCAGCAGCGATACGTGGCGTCCGCCCTCTCCCCTGCTCCCCATCCCCCGCCCCTCCAGCCCCTGACGATTCCCCCTCCCCACCAGGGCTCATTTCGATTCCTCCGACTCGATCCGATTCGACTTCGATCGCTTCTGAGTCGACTTCGATTTGGATCTTGGATGTCTCGGTGGAGGCCCTACTGGTCTGCCGATTTTTCCGCCGGTTCGACCTCTTCCGATTTTGCTGCCGATGTCCGCCGATCCGATTCGCTGCGATCACCGATCCGACTTCTCGATTCGACTCGAGGCTCTCCTGCGCTCCCGCCCCCCAGAGGGGAGCGCGGCTCGTTGCCGCTCTTCGAGCAGGAGATCGACTACGGAATGGGTTCATCCCCAGAATCCGGAGGTTGATAGACCTCCTACCCTGACACGTCGATTAGTGAATTGGCCGTTTTCGGTTCGCGAGGGCGTCGCGGCCGTTATGTTGCGGGTCCAGGTCCGTCGGTGTCGGTCCCAGGCCGTTTTCACTAAAGGGAGGTTTACTAAAGGGAGGTTGGTCCACCGCCGAAGAACGGACATATCCATCGAGTCTGCGACGAGCGCGTAGACTTTTCGCATATCTGCGAATCTCATACCCACTTCTTCGTAGATCTGCGACATCTTTGTCCTGGGCTGCAGTCGATCTCCTACGGCCGGTTCCCGTCGTGTCGACCCGCGGCGACCCCGCCGCGGGTGTTCAACGTTGAACGTCGTCGGCGACCCAGAATCGGGCGATGCTGAACGATCCCGACGTTTCGGGAACGGCCGATCGTTCAAGGTTGAACAATCCCCGCGATGTCGGGACCCAACGCCGGGGTCGACACGACACGAGCTTGCCGTAGTCGAGCTCTGGTTTTAGGTTGGGCGCGTCCCCCTACAGGCGGATTTGGGCGGAGGTGGGCCGCAAAATAAAAGACAGTCCAAACATAACCACCCACATTGCCAAACATGCACATACCGAACAACCTCGTCCCTGGACTGTTTGTTCGGCTGCCTTGAGCCATGCCTCCTGTGGAGGGGGACACGCCCGACTCAGCTCTGGCTTGGGGCTGCCGCCCCCCCGCGGCAGGCCCCGCCGTGCCCGCTGGCCCCGCCCCGCAGCCCTGCGCCTCGTGGCAGCGGACGCCGCTGATGGTGGCGGCGCGGCACGGCCAGCTGGAGGCCCGCCCCGCCCTTGCTGCGGCTGCCCGTGCGCGGCTTTGACTGAGTCGCCGCTCGTGAGCCTGCGCCCAGAGAGCTCCTCCTCCCTCCGTCCGCCCAATCTCCTCCTCCGCCTCCGTCCTCCTCATCCCACCCCTCCTCCCCTCCTCCTCCTCCTCCTCCTCCCCTCCTCCTCCTCCTCCTCCTCCTTCCCCCTCCTCCTCCTCTTCCTCCTCCTCCTCCTCCTCCTCTCCTCCCCCTCCTCTCCTCCTCCTCCTCCTCCTCCTCCTCCTCTCCTCCCCTCCTCTCTCCCCCTCCCTCCACATCACAGCAAGCAGCGCCGACCCCAACCGACCAGCAGCGCCCACCGCCACCCACCGACCAACGACAACCAGCAACACCACCACAAGCAGCAGCGACTCCAGCCGACCAGCAGCGACCACCGCCACCCACCGACCAGCACCCACCAGCGCCCACCGCCGACCACGACCGACCAGCAACACCACCGCAAGCAACACAGATTTCAGCCGACCAGCAGCGACCACCAGCACCCGCCCACCGACCAGCGCCCACCAGCACCCACCAGCGCCACGACCGGCCAGAACCACCACGAACAGCACCGACCCCAGCAGACTCACAACACCCACATCCACCCACCACCGACAACAGACCAACAACGTCGACCAGTCCTCCCTCTCCCATCCCTCCCCTCCCTCCCCTCCTTCCTCCCTCTCCCGTCCCCTCTCCTTCCCCCCCGACCCAACACGATCCGACGCATCAAGAGGCAAAGTGTGACGAGTCAGGCATCATCGATTTCACAGTCTTCCACAAAAACGCGAGATCTCTGGAGACGAACGACCGGATCGACGAACTTTTGCATGATTTACGTGGGTTGCATTGGG